CTCAGTCCCTCAACTATAACTTGCCTATGGCTCAGTCCCTCAACTTTTGAATCACTTACAAATTAGTCCTTTAACTTTTGTTAATTTTTTTTCATGTTAACTTCTATCTTACATTAATGAATAAGAAGAGAGTATTTTAAAATAATATATGAGCATTTTTTACCCCTCTTATTTGATAAAAAAATTTAAAAAAAATTAAAAAATAAGAACCGAGTTATAGGTAAATCAAAAGTTGAGAGATTGAGTTACAGCGAGTTATAGTTGAAGGACTAAGTCGCAGCGAGTCATAATTGAAGGACTGAGTTACAAGTGAGTTAAAAGTTGAAAGATTAAAAGATTAATTTTCTCTTCATACAATTAATACCACTAGCCAAAAGAGATTAATCTCTCTCATAACATTTAGCACCAAACAGGGTGTGTTTTGAATAAGATTATTGTCTCCAATAAAAGAACATCAATGCATAATTGAAAAACAATTAATACAAAATATGATTGCTGGCTTTGCCAAAAATCTGATTAAAATTAAGTGATAGAATATAATAATCCTATATAATTAGAAATTTTATTTTATTAGTAACCATATTAATCATCAGGTGGATCGATAAAACGAATGTATCCAAATGTTAGGGTCAAATCGAGGACTGTTGTGATGCGATCACACGTTAACTAATCCGTGCAATGAACTGTGTGCCTCTCAGAACTCAGAAGTGATAATGAACCACTTTCCAATTTTCTTCTTTTTATTTCATGTTTGTCTTTGTTTTCTTTCTAGTCGTCCACGAAAGCAACAGTTCAGTGAAGCTGAAGCAAGCTCAAGACAAGAATAGCAGTTAGCAACAAAACAAAAACACTTGTACCTTCCGTTTCTGGTCATATTTTCATGATTCTCTCCAAACAATTAATATATTCACAAATTGGTTAGGGATGTATAAAAGTAAAGTTGATAATTTGAATTAGGTTTGACATGCTAGTTTGAATTTAATTAAAAAAAAGTTAAAATTGAATTTGATTATATAAATTTTTTTAAAAGGATAGGATACTTCAAATTCGATCTAAATAAGCCTGATTCAAATTGAACCCAGTTTAAATAAGCCCGACTCACTGAATTACCGACTCTATATAAAAGTTAAATTTCTCTAATACTTTTTATAATATTCTCAATTTTTCAATTTATTTTTTTCTTTAAATCATTAACTTTTACATTAAATAAAAGGGTGTGATTGTATTATTTTTAAAAAAGTATATAGAATTTCAGTGTTTCAGAATTTTAAAATACCTAAATGTTTATTATTTTATATAAAAGTCAATAATTCAAAGAAAAAAAATAAAAGCGAGAAGTTCGGGTATTACAAAAGATATTAAAGAAAGACACATTAGAGGTTCACACAGATGCACTTAGTTTTTTCTTTTTATTTTATGTTGAGAATTTGCAAAAGAAACTATTATAATATTTAAAATCAAGTCAACCTGCTCAATTAAATTAATACATTGTTGACCAATGTGTTAACCAATTTAATAAAATGCTTTGACGTTGAGTTTAATTACGGTTTGACTGCAGTAGCTCTTAAACTTGTGTATAGAAACCGGTCTGATTTAATTCAGTATTTTTATAAAAAGGATATATATGAGAGAAAAAGCCTTGGTGGTAACAACCACTTACAAAAATACAAGGTGAGATTCCATACAATAGATGAATAGCTAGTAGCATTTATAAAACTGGTTTTCATTATTCACTACATACAGACTCGTAGATTTCTTTTCAGAAAAATTATGTATGAGTTCCAAATTAAACAAAGACTAGTTTATAAATAAGTAACACGGATTTGCAAAAATATAGCCAATTTTTTTGGAATTTATTTGTAATTTGTTATGGGTGTAAAAAGATCTCATTGTCCTTACTTCAAACATATTTAGTTGTAAATTATGAAATTTTAGTCTTAAATCACGATATTTCAGTTAGTGAGGACCAATGTAAACATGAACCCACAAATTGGGGTAGTGTGGTCATTTCACACCCTTGCTAAATTACAAATAAGTTCTAAAGAACTTAGTAATAATTTTACAAATTTATTAGATTTATTTGTAAACAACGTTCTCATTTGAGACTTATATATATGCACGTAATCTCCCCTCAATTATAATATATATAAACAACTTTCCAGCATATATCTTTTGGTATCATCAAGCTAATAAATAGAAAAAGCTATTTTGGTGTTAATTTTTCTATTATTAAAAAGGTTCAAATCATAAAAAAAAAAGTTCATAATCTTCATCTACAATTCTTTTTTATATATTATTTGTATATCCACTTTTGAATGACCTAACAGTTATGTTCGAACACCTTTTCTTCTTGTTCTATTTTCTTCAGTCAGGTACACTATTTGATGGATGGAGAGGAGGAATACTTGTGAAGGGAATAAAATGTAATTCTTTTACTTAAAATTGCACTTGATATTACGTAGGCAAGCATGAGGTCACAGTTTTTGTTTTCTTGCTTTTATGTAAAATTGTTAAAATGTAAATATTTGAAAGGATGTGTTTTTACGATAATACGATATTGATAATGCTCCAGTGTAAATGACTAAAAAGAGAGATATTTTAGAGAAGAAAAAACATAGCTATTGATCTCTATAGTTTTTATCGCGTTTTTTATTAGTCTTTGTATTTTTTTTTCCGATATTCCTAGTTCCTATAGTTTTTCCTGTCTATAACATGTTAGTTATTTTAGTTTTAAATATGCCTAGAGGAATAATGATGTGGCACTTAATGTTAAATAATCTAATGTGTTATTAACAATGTTAATGATGATTCTAAATGTTTGAATCATCAGCAGGTAAAAGAAAAAAAAAAAAGGAAAGATTGGGCGCTTTCTAATGAAGACTGCTATGGTGACAATGCTTATCAGTGTCGAAAAATGATTTTTTAGTCATTGCGAGTCAAGCCCTTAACCTTAGACATCAAATATTATAATTTAAAACAGTTAGTGTTTCATCATTGTCCCTCTAAACATATTTAAAAATAAAAGGATTAACATTACATATGGAAAAAATTATAAGGATCTAAAATGTTAAAAAAAAATATAGGGACTAACTAGTAACAAAACACAACAAAATTACTGAGGACCAATAGTTATGTTTTCCTTATAAAAAAACCTAGCACAATTTTTTTCATAAATAACAAAAAATTTTAATTCACATGAATTAGTTAGCTAGCTCCTAAATTGAGAACATGAGTACATTTAATTTACATGGCTTTTCTTTTCTTTATTATTTTTGCATTTATCAGAATTTCTCCCAAGAGCAGACAACGATGCAAACTTGAAAGGGAAGCAGAGGCAGTGCTGCAATCCGAAAGTTGTGGCAGAAAATATGGAGTCAAGTCCAGATCTCTCCAGTAAATTACGTAATTTATAACAATAAAGCAATATTGTAAGAGAATTCGAGGGGAAAAAAAAAGGATGTCTATAATATAAATAAGGGTTAAAGAGATTTTTGCCCTTCAACTTCAACTATTTGTCTAGTTTGTGATGCATTGTTTCCTTCAACAATTAGAAATAGTAAGTCATTGCCCCTGTTGTTTAATAAAGATTAACTTTAATTATTAGTTGATTAAAACATTATAAAAAAGGAAACATAAATTATAAAAATTGACCCCAAAAATTACAAATAAATTTTTTATAAGAAAATTAATACTCCTTCATTCAAAAATATAAAACATTTTTAATCTTTCAATGTGTAATCATTATCTATTTTTTAAAAATGCCCCTATTGATAATGATTTTATATTTATTGTAGGATATTTAATAAGAGTAAATATGAAAAGATAGGATTAGTTTAAAAATAGGTGACTACTTTATTGGATTGAGATTCGATTAAAAATATTTTATATTTATGAACGGAAGGAGTATTGATTAAGTCTCCTAAATTACAAATAATTATAAATACCAAGATATAAATGTTATTTTTTACAATGTAAAAGACCAAAATACTCTATTTCGATAAACCACTTGTCCACTTTGACAGGCTAAGGGATGATTATCATATCATTATTGTTGACAACATTACTGATAATTAATTAAAAAATAATATATTTGTAATAATATCTTATTAAAATATTTAACACTTTAATATCATCATACCAATGATAATTCGATAATCATCCAGTAATTAGTTAAAATGGCTAGTCAAAATGGTATTTTTGACTTTTAATGTGAATAAGAAATAATATTAATTTTTAAACTTTATTTATAATTTAAAATATTTAATCGATATTAATTTTTTATTTGTAATGTAATTAAAGTCATGTACTATCATTTCTTTGACCCCTCTCCATTATTTCGACGTGATTAATTACGCTCAAAATTTTCTTCCAGGGGCTTGATAAAAAAAGTGCACTTTTTTTCAAATGAAGGGTAATATTAATTATGTTTTAACTCTATAAATAAATAGTGTGCCATATACTACCAATTCTTTGCGTTTCCCTCTCCATATAGTATTGCATAACATAAGAGTAACAATTATTTGATTTAATCAGAGCATGCTTTTTTTATTACTCATAAGTATTTTTTAATTAAAAGCAATTAAACTAGAAGTCTTAATTTATATTTATATTAAAAACTAAAAAATTAGAATGTCTCTCTATTGACGAAAATGATCTAGTCTGGAGAGAGCTACACACATAACGATCTCATCTCATCGTCGACCCAAATCGTCACTACATTTAATTACGTTCATATTATTCACATACACGTGTTTGCATAGCTTCGTTTTTGGATGATTTCCATGACCCTTATTAGTTGTCAATTTAATTTCCCTTTTCTACGAGGCAATATAAGAATAAAAAACATACATCCCATACCTATGCGCCACAAATTTAATATAATTTGAATGGAAATAAAGTCTGCATATATATATATATATATATATTACCTTGGAAGAAAGTGAAGTTACATGATAGGTCGTCCATAGCTTAGAAACTAACTCAAACCCTAATGTTCTAATCACCTCACACTATTTAACGTAAAACACAAAGAGAACTAATTAAGAACATGGGGATCCAAAGATAGGTATACGTAGAGAGAACTCCATATATATATATATATATACCTCCACCACCTTCAACTTTCTCCCTTCTAAATCTGCAAATTCATTAGATTCAATAAAACATAAAATAAATCACCATAACTTGTGGGAAATTATATGAAAATTACAAGTTTAATTAATTTCAACAAAGGAAAATATCGTGTTTTGAATCGGATCTCTACAATCATGCAGTAGAGGGAATCATTAAAAAAATTGTTTTCTTAAATAAATGAATTTTTCATGTTCATATAGTATTTTTAATTATTATAGAAGAGCGATAGTATACAACACCTAATGCCTAAAATAAAAATCAAAACTTTTTTGTTTAATTTTAACACATAAAATACAACATTTTTTCATAGTTTTTTCCAAAACAAATGAAGCGTAATAGAAAAATTAGGATAAAAGAAAATAAAAAAGGGAAATTATAGCGCACCAGATAATAAAATGCGCCGTGACTGAGTGACTGGAGAGTGACGCCCCACTCGTTCGTGAGGACGGGGTGTCCTGTTGCCGCGTGGACCAGAACCGCGTCATCACCAAAAGCCTCCCGCACGTTGAAGGGGCCCACAGCCACCTCGAATGCGACGTCGTTTATGTGTACAATTGATTTCGCTGCCGTACCACCTGCTTCCTCTGCACCTCACACACACCCAATCATACCCTCTGGTCAAAATACCCCAAGCCCCAATTTGAGATTGAGACAACCAGCCATGCAAACGTCTTTCCAACATCATTCATCACTAACAAATCTTAAGTAACATGATGCTCGAATTACCATCTTACCCCCCACCTTCCTCCTTATTACAGATATCCCTCTCCCTCTTCCCTTTTTGAAACAATGCTATAATAAATATAACAAAATAATTAACCAAGTAAATATGACAAAATTCATCAATAATTAAAGTGGAGAAAGCTAGCCCCCTTTGATCTATTAATTAATTATGTTAAATCTTGTGCTAATTACGTATAAAAAGTACTATGCCATATGCCATGTGTGTGTGTGTATCTTATTATATATACTGAAACAGGAATAGCATCATAATAGGGGCATGTAGTGCTACGACATGTAACATCTTATGTTTTATTGGTCCGTTGAACAACCGAAGATATCTATACCAAAAGTATTTATTTTTTGATATGATTTATGAATGACACATGCTTCATTGTATCTTCTTGAAAAGTATTTGTCGCGTGAGATAGATATAGTCACGTGGTATGCAATGATGCCAAGAATGTCTTTGGATCTTGTGCGGATAGGAGCACTGTAGCGAAGCATGCACAAGCAAGCACACCCAACAGTAAAAAAAAAAAAAAAAGAAATTAAAGAACCAAAATTTACCCTGAATTTGAGTAGTGACGCTGAGGGATGGAACAATAACAGTGGTGGTGGTGGCAGGAGCCATAGAAGGGACAACAGTACTGTGAATGGTGGGAGTGACAGAAGACGAAGCTGCCACACAGAAACTCGGATGATGATGTTGATGATGATGATGATTCATCACATTATTCTTCATCACTTCCTTCTGATCTTGTTCTTTCTTCTGATTCATCATCTCACTGAGCAAGAGACTAGTGCAAGGCCCAACGTTCTGATAATGAGGCTGATGAGCTTGAACAAGACCAGACAGCTCAGAGAAGCAAAACCCTTGATGATGATCAGTCGTAGTTACAGTAGTGGTATCATTATGGTGCAGTACAGGGAAGAAGAAAGGCTCAGAAAGAGAGGTCTCATTATTATGGGTCTGAAAATATGTGGCATGATGGTGATGGTTACTTGGAGAACTTGGGATCACATCAGAAGAGAAGCCAATGGAGAATGACGACGACGACTTGAAAGGAGGAATAATAGTACTGATAATTTCCTTGGAATAAGGAGGGGGAGGAGAAGACTTGTTGTCAGATGAAGAAGAATTAGGAGATGAAATCTGAGGAATGATGATAGAAGGAGGTGGTGGGGTTGATTCGTGAGTGATGACATGGTGGTTGTTGTCGTTGTTGACAGTGATCTTGTTTGAATTTTGAAGGTTTCGGAGCTTGTGTTTGCTTCTGGACTTGCGATTCTGAAACCAGTAGAACACATTCGCGTCACCAACTTGACCATACTCTTGAAGCTGAGCTCTGATCTTTCTGATCTCATCTCTAGGAGGATTCACCATCCCAGAGTTGAAGATCGCTTCCAGAATCCGAATCTGCTCTGGTTTTGGGTTCCACCTCGGCTTCGGCTCTGGACTTCTCTCCTCACAACCTGCAAAACAAAACAAAGTCATCATCAACAACATGAAGTTTTAATTCTAACCAGAAATAATAATGAAGTTGATCTGATTACGAACCTGTAGAAGAAGAAGAGGAAGAAGAAGTGTAAGGGGTTCGGTGGCAAGAAGAAGAAGAGATGAGAGAGGAGTTCATGTCGTGCTGCCATGGGTGCTGCGGATTGCAGGGCTTGGACTTGAACATGCTGGGCCAGTGTCTGTTAGAAGAAGCCATGATGATGATAAAGAAGACGAAGACCACCAAGAAAGATAATGACGACGATGGATCAATTCAAGAATGATGCCTAATAATGATGAAAAGTTTGAATATCAGGGTTTTGTGAGAAAGGAATCAAATGAAAATAAACTGAGAGGCTAGATTTCGAAGCAGCCAACCACAAGAGAACAACATATATACATACCAACTAGACCTTTAGATACATAGTGCTGTATGTGTGTGTCTATATATATAGCTTTTTAGCTTTTTGGTCCGAGAAATCTGAATAACCCACTAAGGCAACACCATCTCCTCTTATAGCCTCTTCACCTACTCTCTCCGATGAGAGAACCTGAGACCGTTCTATAATATTGCAAATGATAATAATGAGAGGTATTAATTAATTTAAATTCGAAGATATATTTATATTATGATGGAACGTGCAACAGTTAATTTAAAAATGGACGAAGCCTGCAACAGGAATCGCCTGCAAGAAAGGATAAAATTAAACCAGAAAGTAATAAAAGAAAAATAAGATAATTGTGAGGAGATAGTAGTAGAAGTGTAGAAGTATTAACTTACCATGTCTCCCATCCCCTGCAATACTATAGCATTAACAGTGATGAAGTTCTTTGTTTTTTTTTTTTTGGTTGATGTTTTATGGTTTAAAGAAGAAGCAAAGTACCTCCGGATGAGAAGCAAAGAGAACATGGAAAGGAATACATGCTTGGGACTTAATTAGGAATCCTGTCTCAGAGGTGACAGAGAAAGCTGTTAATGCTTTGAATACTAGGGCTTTGAGTTTCTGATCAGTTTGTCTCTTATAATATATATATATATATATATATATATATCTCTTCTCCAGAAATTTCTTTCTCTAGAGAAGAGAAGAACGAAGGGGATTATATTATAATTCTAATATATATCGTCACTGTATTAATGGGATTATTATTCTAATGGAAGAGTGAGGTTGTTGCAGAAGTAAATGGTGGGGTTTGAAAGTCAAGAATTGTAGGGTTTTGTGATTGGAAGGCGGTGGTGGGTTAGTAATTGCAACTTTTTTAAAAAAAAGAAAATTATTTTATTTTTCATTTTTGAGTTGGTATTTTTTTTTTTGGATTGACTCGAGGGAGCTTTATTTATTGTGATCCACTAAGTCTTGGACAATTTTCTTCTCAAATTTCAAATTCAATATCCCTTTCGTATCTCAAAGTTTCAAATTGACTTCAAATCCTTGGTTTGATCAGTCACCAAATTAATGCATATGTGCAAACCGAAAATTAGTTGGAATATTAATTAATTGTGTGTTGATATTAACGAAAGAAAATTGAATAAATGTGGGATTAATTAATTAGTTTGAAAAGTTAATTAGTGCTTTCGAATATCTCTTTGAAGTTTTAAGAATAAAGAGTATATATACTGATTCCATAACTTTATTGGTAAAATGTTCATTTCATGGTGTGCGTGCTTTAAGATTAACTTTTGTAAACTTTTCGAAAAGGAGAAAGAAAAAGGCACACACATATAATTATTTCTGAGCTCATGGACAAGTGTAATATGACAAACATACTCGAGACAAAATTTCATGATTTCGTATTATTGTTTTGACGGTTACTTATCCGAAAAATTCATATAAAATTTCATTTGGCCAAAACAAAAATTTCAAAATCAGATACTTATGTTCATGTAAAAAAGCTGTATTTTGTCAAATTACACATCGCACGAACTCCTTTTAAATTTGTATTAATTCAATTTTGATTAAAATTAAAATTTTTATATTTAAATTCTCTAAACTAATGCAATGTTTGTAATGATCCGTGAAAAAAGAATAAAAATATAATTAAATATGAAGATCATTGACAAGTTACATGAAGCTCTTTAATTCTCATAATTACTGTAATTAATATAATTTAATTAATATTAATTATAAATAATTTTTCTCATTATTTAAAAATTAGTTCGGGTTAGCAACATTTATACTAACCGACCAAAGTATGGAGATGCGAGAGGAATCGATTGGAATTTGAATTATAGTTAAAAGATCACTGCAATTGTATTTAAGAACGCTAATTAAGAAAAATTTTAAGAAAAATTAAAATTCTAGGTGATTTTTGAAAAATATATCCAAGGAGAAATTACTTGAAATTTTAGTAATAAATCCCTAAAAATATAATTATAATTTTAACATTAAGAAATAATTACAGTTTTCAGAAATTTTTTTATCTATGATATACAAAAAGGAGAATTGCATCCATGAGAAAATTATTCATAGATAATGACAATAACAAATTTTATTTAAAAAAATAAATTAATATTTTTATTTTAATAATAATTAATTTTATAATAGTTATTATGTGCGAATAACTTTTTGATACATCCTTAGATATGGTACAAAGTTTATAATTTTGATATAATTTTATAAAGAAAAAATTAAATTTTTAATCCTTCAACTTTTAACTCACTTGTAACTCAGTCCTTCAATTATGACTCGATGTGATTTAGTCTCTTAACTATAACTCGTTGTGACTCAATCCCTCAACTTTTGATTCACCTATAACTCGGTCCTTATTTTTTTAATTTTTTTAAAAAATTTCTTATCAAATAAGAAGGATAAAAAAATGCTTATATATTATTTTAAAATATCCTCCTCTTACTCACTGATGTGAGATATAAGTTAATATGAAAAAATTAATAAAAGTTAAGGGACTAATTTATGAGTGATTTAAAAGTTGAGGAATTAAGTTATAGGTAAATTATAGTTGAGAGACTGAATCACAATAAATCATAATTAAAAGATTGAGTTATAAGTGAATTAAAAGTTAAATGATTAATAAATTAATTTTTTTTTTCTAAATGAGTATTCATGATGAAAATGTTAATAATTTAAAAGTGAAATACAAGGTTGTGATTCAGTTGTCCTTCTTTCAGAATGACCACACACTGCGTGTAAGATGCTGAGGGTAGGTAGGTTGAGACCTTGATGCAAAAGTGCCCAAGGAATTGACACCTCTCAAAATAATTACTCTCAATTTTCAATTTCAATTACTATTATAAAATTTCTTCCAATACAGTTATTACCTTTGGGTCAAAAGAGTTGCTCTCTATTTTCAACTATTATACGGCTCTTTTTCTCCTGTTTGCCATTTCCCTAATATTTTAGGGCTCTCAAATCTCAAAACATGTTGAACAATAAAAATTTTACTTTTCTACATCTTAGTAGGAAAGACGAGCTGGCCATGATGTTATTGTTATTAGTTCTCCTTAAATGTTATTTATTATTAATTCTCATTAATACTACTGAAATAAAAATGATTAAAAGAGGTAATATTGCCTGCGTATAAATTAGAAAACTAAATTAATGTTTTTTCAATTTATAAAGTATGTGATTATAATTTATATACTAGTAAACCTATGTGTGATCTATTGATGATCACCCTCTAACTAGAAATAGCTAGCAAGGATTGAAATCACATTTAAGTTGGGTATGAATTAATTATAATTTGAACTTGTATCAAATTTCCCATTTTGATAGGCAATTATGTTGTGTTTGGATTAACAAAAATATGAATTTGGATTTATATCAAATTTCTCATTTTGATACACAAAAATATATAAATTTATTTTGATTCAAATTTAAATTTATTTTTTTCTTAATAATTCTTTATACTTTCAAGTTCATTTCACATCATATATAGTTGTTTGAAATTTTAATTATTTCAAAATTTTTATTCTCTAAGTTTTCATTGTTGATGATTATATCACTCGAATCTTTTTCTCATCATTATTTATCATTGATTGAAAAATAAAGCTCATTACTCCAAATTTTTTATTTTTCCTTTGAATCTTAACTCATCTCTACTCATCTTCCTTTGAAAATTTTTAAACTAAGAAAACAAAGAATTTTAAATATATAAATTTTAAATGTGAGATTTAAAATATAAAATATAAATTCAAATCTATCCAACCAAATGCTAACAAATCATGGCTAACAACGTAACATGCACACAATTTTTTAAATTAAAAATGTTCAATCAATATACCAATATATTAATACATGGCATTTTAATGCACAAACATACATGTAATAACAAATTGCATTATATTGTTCAATTCACAAATTCTACGTAACCAACAAATAATAATGCAGAATGAAAGTTAATTAAATTAAATACAAACTTAAATTGGTGACACAGGGTGTTGGACGTACGGGGTAGCTATGATATCGTTCTCCTAAATATGTCATAATGATAAAAAATCCTCTCCTCTAATGATCAATTACATATATTTACTACTATAGAGAGAACTTAATTTTTCATTAACATTTTTAAAATTACTAATAAGCATGCCAATAATGTTAATCCATAATTCCTTGTGCCTTAGTTAATTGGTTTCAATCGAATGCTCAAAGTCATAATTAAGACAAAGCTAAGTGAGGTTAATGAATATAATATATCGTCCTATTCTATATATCAGCTAAGAATTCTTTTATCTTACTATGTTGACTACATATTATATAAGCTGCCAAGAAATTAATGCTTCCCTCAAGGGAAGTGCAGGTCTCATTCACAAGGGCTAGAGAAAATGTTTTTCCTATCAAGAAAAAAAATACATATTGACAATTTTTTCTTAGATTATAAAACATTTTGACTATTTTGTCCATTTTTTAAACATATTTTAATTTTAATTTTTTAAAGACAAGAATTAATTTATATAAATATAAAAAAATTTCATTTCTCTTAACAATATCAACCTTTTATTTTAGGATTAAAGGAAAATTTTACCCTTAAACTATAGGTCTAGGAGTGTCTAGAATTTTAAACTTATTTTTAATATATTATTTCCTTTTAACTTTTGAAAATGATGTAATATCGCTCTTATCATTAATATATGTTAACTTTGGCCCTTAGTTGACAAAAAATTATAATAAGGACTTAAAAATTGCAAATAAATATTCTATAAAAAATTAATACAAATTAAGTTTTCTAAAGTATAAATAAATATTAAGAGACAAATGTTATTTCTTTTTTCACATAATAGACCAAAAATACCATTTTAGCCAACTTCTTTGACCACCTACCATTTTAACAAAAAAAAAATATTTTTTTAATATCTTCTTAAAATATTATTATTATTATTTACAAATTTTTACACACAATTTATAAGTTAACTTTTAAGAATAATGGTGATCTGGTAATTGCTTGGTAACTAGTCAAAATACTTGTTCAAAATTTTAATTCTTTTGCAAGTAAAAAAGTAACATTTGTCTCTTGA